CTCTTTCAGTTTGGATGCGTGTGAATTAAACAATCACCGGACGAGTGAGAGTGAGAGAAAGCGGCACTGAACATCAGCTCAGGTCTGTGACACATTTACATTTTCTTATTTCAATTACAGATTCTGACCATTTCAAACCATGAAGACACAGTGTAACATTAAAAAGGAAGTTCAGTAGATGCTGATGTGTTGCAAATATCATTAGATGTTTCCATTTTTCATTTGACTTTATTTTAATGGTTGTGTGGGGAGAAAGAGTCAAAAATATGAGGCATGTCTGATCAGGTGATGAGGTTTGTATGGATGTTGTGGGATGATCATTGTTATCATGATTCATGAATATTGAGCTGATGCCATAAAAACATGGTCACAATATTTTGCCATTTGACTACCGTTTTAGTAGTTTAATAGTAAAGCAATGCTCAAGATTAAAACACAATGCATTTCCTTTAAAAAGAAACTTTCAACAACACTTCTGTTTGAAGTATACAACAGTTTTTATCAAAGCATGAATGTTTAACACTTTCACAATTTCCAACACTTTAACATCTCTGAACCTGAAACCATATGACAGGAAACCAAAGTTGTGGTAGATGGTTTTGAGGAGTTTAAGAGACATAAAGTTAAGGTAGTTGATAGTGTAAAAATCAAACATTTTCTAGTAGAAGTCTCCTAGTGAAGCTTAACCAAGCTACATTTCACTTCCTATTTTCGTTGGGATACTAAAAAAGACCATTGCTTGTGCTTGACAACATTTCTGTGAATCTCATCAATATTTTAACCTGTCAGGTTGTCTGTCCTGTGACTCAGAGATCATATGGTAACACAGGAGTAAACTGGTTCACACATCAGAGATGAAGCATGTCCAGGTAGGATGTTGCATTAGCCTCTCGTGTGCTGACATGTTGAAATCTAGTGTGTTTGGTCATGAACGTCATGCGCTTTTTCTACTGCTGTCTGTAATAGGAGAATTTATGTATGAAATGTAACAGAGTGCTATTTTAGAATAGATAAAAGCACTGAATGTTTCGAATAAAACTACATTTAAGCTGTTCTCAAAACTATGGAAGCCCGTTTCCGCCACTGAATTCAAAATAAAAAAGGTAATTCTGACTTTTTTTCTCAGAATTAGAGTTATAAAGTCAGAATTGAGAGATATAAACACAATTTCGATTTATAAAGTCAGAACTGCGAGATATAAACTCACAATTCTGACTTTATATCTCGCAATTCTGACTTTAGAACTCGCAATTGTGAAATTATGTCTCACATTTCTGTGAAAAAAAGTCAGAATTGTGAGATAAAAAGTCGCAATAACCTTTTTTTTATTTACTGACGGAAACGGGCTTCCATGCAAAACAGTTATGCTCACAGTATAATTCTAATAATTTTTTAATAATTATAAAAAATGTTATTGGTCAGCAGGCTCTAATAATAATAATAATTCAATGCAGATGATTATGATTATTATATTTACTTTTACTTGATTTAAGCTGTTTTTAAGACAAACTTACTGTCAGAGTAGTTCTAGGGTTTATATAATTCTAATAATTATTAATTTAATATAATATTTTATTTAATATAATATAAAATAATAATTTATTGTTTTATTTTTTCTTCATACATTTTTTATTTGTTTTAACATCTTCAACAAAACTACATTTAAGCTGTTTTTAAGACAGTTAAGCTTAGTGTCAGATTCTTGTATTTATATAATTTTAATAATAATTCTTTAATTGCTTTAATGCTAAGCATTAATAATAATAATACTAATAATAATTCATCCCACATTATTATTATTATTATTATTAATTTTATGTTAGAGTCTGATGAGCATTAAAATTACTTTTAGCTTTACATCATAACATTTATTTGTTTTAAAAATGTTTACACTCCTATTTTTGAATATTTCCAGGTGTAAATGTAAAAAAGAAAAAAAAAATCCCAGATTCTGTTCTTTGACTTTGATTAACATATATCAGGACATGAAGCTTAAAATAAAAGGATTCATCTCTTAAATTCAAAATTTTTCATGTTCTCATAGTTAATGATTGAGTCACTCATTGATTTCCTTTGGCTGCGTCACGCTCCAGCCTGAACTTGAATGGATTATTTCTCCTCCGTCTCACCACACAGCTGATAGTCAGTTGAGGAGATCCATCTCATGACAGCCTTATGTAGAGATGTCGGGTGAAACCAGTACGTTGTCATGGAAACCGCCTCCTCCCGGTCCACTGATGGTATCCACTGAGAATCAATGCAGGGGGCCGGTGAAAATCCTAAAAGTGTGCTTCATAAGCAACAGCGCCAACCTGGGCAAGAACTTCAAACTGGTCAAATGTGAAAGTTCCTGGAATATCAGGGTGAGAAGATTAACATGCATTTTTACACATTAATCATGAATGCAATATGAAACACGTCATCATGCCAATCATCATAGCTTCCTGTTTTTATAACAAAGGATCACGTTGAGCATTAAGATTTTTTGCATGATTTTTTTTTTCATTTATTTCCTGATGAATGTTAAATAAAATCTAAATGTCATAATGCAAAAAAATATTTTCTTTCATTAGTATGATTCCTTTCATTCCTTTGAAAGACATTCCTTTCATGACAATGATAAATAAAATTAAAATAATGCAAAAAAGCCCTAAACATATAGGCTTAAACATATCATTTCTTCTTTCTTTCTTTTTTGGGGTGAAATAAATCCACAAATGTTTAAATGTTTGATTTGAATGATGATTTCATTCTGCAGAGAATTACTCAGTCCATCCTGGACAGCGGGCGACTCGGTCCCAACATCAAGTTCTCTGAATGCTACGGTCTGCTGCTCAAACACCTCAAA